TGTATGGCCCTATGACCAGGTGTTTCTCAACCTTGGGGTCGGGATCCCTTTTGGGGTCATCTAGAATATATATGGGGTCGCCTGCAATATCTATTAACAGAATTAAAATTTCAAATAATTATGTTCAAAATTATGATTAGAAACACCACACAAAATCTTAAACAACCGCATAGTTTAGCGTTCATGAACATGAATCAAGTTAAGATAAAATGCAGCATATAAAAATATCTGAGCAGGCGCTACTGGACGTGTGACCAGTTTAAGATGCTGTAGTGACTCATCTAACACGTGATGGGGGAAAATAAAATGTTAGAAAATCCTAGAAAAAATCATTGGTGTTGTCAGAAGTTTGTATATCAATATGGGGTCAGGATAAAAAAAAAAGGTTGGGAACCACTGCCTCTGCATTACCCCTCGCCCCCCATCCCCATCTCTGCTTTTCTGTAAGATCAATGTTAGAATTTAATAAAATTATCTTCAACAAGTAACAAACCAATGCTGCTGCTCCTGGTGGGACACTGGTTTCTACAAGTCAAACATCTCTCCGCAGCAGGCTGTCTCTCCTCAGGCTATAAATTGAATCCACCACAGGTCTTGAGTTTAGTCACAGAACTTCTGTCTATTCCTGAAAATCCGGTGTCACTAGAGCCGCTGGTTTTTCTTAAGCCGGATGTGGAGACAAGACAATACAAGACTGTATAAAAATAAAAATTCAAATTTGTTACATTGTCACCAAACTTATGGAACAATAAGTATATAATAAGGCAGACCCTGGTTATGGTTCAATGGTTTGTCAAAAATATGGTTTCAAGAATTGGTTTCAATGGGTACAAAACTGTCAAACTACTTAATTACAGACCTGACTTTAATATATGGATAAAGATGATTAGATGTTAAAAGTATAGAGAACACAGAGGCTCTGGAAATGTACAACTGTAAAACTGCAGTCAGGTATAAGTACAAGTCTGGTTTCAGCACTGTTAATGTCAGTTGGGCCATTTTCCTGCCAAAGTAAATGTCAATAAAAGAAACCTGGGAAAATATAACAGTAATAGCAGGTGTGAGATTTCACTCTCTCGTAAATACTGTAAAAAAAAAAAAACGTAGTAAAACATTTAGGAGCAGGTTTGACTGCAGTGATCTGGAATTAACGACTAGTCCTGGAGACTAAGATACAGCCGTGAATATGGAGCTGCTTAAAGCACTCGTCCTCATCAGTAAAGGCTCGTATTGTGACTGCAGTGAGCAACAATGTCTAAAGCTCCCTAAGATGACCGCCATAAATATTAGTAGTTCAATTCCTTAGACTAAATCAAATTATTTACTACAGTTCTTACTTCTCTAATTAATAACTGAATGATTAAATAACAACAAAATAAAATAAACTCAATAATCAGTGCAAATGTAAAGAAAATATTTAAATTTGTATTTATCTTATTAGCTTTATTTTACCTGAATCAGGAACTGCCCCTTACTTTGGCCATTATTGTCACATCAGTCTGACCTCTCCAGCTGTTTAGAGACCAATGCTGCATTTTAGTGACAGTTATTTGCATCATTTTCTGCAATTATGTAGAACAAAACTGAGCTTATTACACACTGCAAATGACCAAAACAGGTGTTTTAATAGTGTGTTGAAATAAACCAATGAAAATTAACTTTGGGAAAGTGACGACAATCTAGTCTATTTCCAGGATGTCGGGCCTTATGGCTCCAGAGAAAAAACCACCCCATGTACATGTATCCCTGGATTTTTTGTTTCTTGAATATTTTTCTTTTAAACAGCATTAATTATTTTTTTTTATTTTATTATACAGAGAGTTCTGTCTAAAATAGTCAAATGGCTCCTGCTTCTATCGTTCAAAGATGAGATGAAATAACCCCAAATGAAAACTGTTTTATTTCCCAAAGTATACTCTCCCCGTGACCCAGTAACGGAAAGTGGATGAAAAAGGATGGATGGATGTAGAGTCTCCATTTCTGACTTCCCAGAGGACCAAAGATTATATCCATGTGAAGCTTTCTCATTGGTTAAAACCTGTGACAAAACAAGTGCATACTGGTGCAGACCTCACACACCCGGGGCTTGTGGGTAAAAGCGGTCAACAAATCTTATAGCGTGTACTCATTAGGTCCTGTAGAGATAAATAAAAGATCCACTCCTCATTATTCATTATCACTGGGTGGGAATCCTACACAGAAACATTTACACTTTTACTATTAGACTTTAAATAAACACCAAAAGGAAATGAAGATTAAATGAGATTTGTTTTAACAAAGCTTTGGATGTTGAGTAAAGTTAAGATGGTACTTTTGTTGATAAGGGATCTGCATATTCGTAGTACCAGTGTATAAGACTACTGTAGTCTAAGGCTTTACAGCCAGCCAGAGAGGCATACACCACTGCAGAAGATAATGTTCAGAAGCTCAGGACTCACTGAGGAACATCGTTTCTGTACCTAAAATAATGAAGGCAACAGCGTTCACTAAGTACAATAACACACTATAACATTCTGCCTCTCAAACATAGAGAAACCTCCAGGGACCACATAGGTGTCTGCTTCCTCTTGAACTTATTTTTAATAAACCTGGGTGTGATATAAAAACACCAGAGTCTGAACTTGTGGGAAGCAGCAAACAGAGGAGGGAAGAGAGTGAGTAAACCCAGTCGGAGATAATTGAAACAGAGAAAGGGCGAGAGTGAAACAGAGAGGATGAAGGATGGCAGAGTGAATGATGGAGGTGCCGTCGCAGAGCGAGTCCTGGCCTCCTGCTCATTAAGACAGTAATTCAAGCAGGGGATTAGAGAGCCAGACTCATGCAGCGGGCCACTGGCTGCTGGTGATGGATGGAAGTTACAGACCATAAAACCTCAACCACTGCCACTCTCACATGTGAGGAAGAACAGGAAGCCATGCTCTGTCCTGGGCCACATGTGGAGGAAATAAGTGTAGAGACGCAGGTACCAGCGAACACGTCACAGTGACTGACTGACGCCACCAACTGTACATAGGTAAAACTGCAGAAAATTCTTAAATCATCTTTTGTAAATCCATGTTTTTCAAACTAGGGGTTGCAGCCCCACATGAGGCGCCTGGACTTCAAATGGGGTCGCCTAAAATTTCTAGTAATAGATTTCTTAATAATTATTGATAATTGCTTTTTGTTTTTTTACATATTATCATTCTTTTTGAAAGCATAACCAAAAAAATCAATCTTAAACAACAGAACTCTGTACATAACTACACTGCATTTGCAACAGTATAACAGAAATTCAAAAACTAAGTCTATGAAAAACTTCTCTAGGGACGCCAAAAATTTGTGATGTGAAAACTGGGTTCAAAAGCCAGAAAAGGTTGTGACCCACTCCTTTAAACACTAAGAAACTCTAATAATAAAAGAAAATAATCACGGTGGAAAATGCTAGAGAACAAAGGTAAATGGATATCAGAAGTATTGTGGGCGTAGGAGAAAAACAACTTTTTCGTCTGCAATGAAATACACGGGGTGTACAGAGAATATTTTCTGAAAAAATCTTCACACTTGTGCATACAAGTTCTCTCTCTAAACAAGAGTTACTTCACTCCCAGCCCAGGGAGGGCAGACAGTAGAGCTGTTGCTTGTTGTGACAGAACTGAGCCCATGAGTGTGTCATCGCCTGAGGAGCAGCCTCCACCATCCACTACAATCACTCATGGTCCTCTGCTCAGCACAGACAGTTTTTTTTTTTAGCAGAACAGGAAAGGGCTTTCTGCACCTGATCCACGTCTCTGTGCTGTTGCAATTAGGTCCTGCCTGCTCCTCAACGTTACAAGACCTAACATGTTGTTTCAGAATCTGGTGATATTAATTTTTAATGGCTGTATTATGATGCAACTGTAATTCTCCGTATTACAAAACCACACAGGAATGTTCACATAACATCACAACAGTGGCAGGGCCCACGGAATTCCACCCCCAGGTCGTCTTCAGGGTCCTGACCACAATGTGTGAAACAGAAAACTAATTGAAAAGTGCAGTTTAATTCTGTTGGGTGATGTTATCTAGAGGAGACGGGGCTGGAAAGGTCACAGCACTGGTTCCCTGCAAGTCCACAGACCCTTTATTTACCAGTCAAATAATGATTCCTGCAAAGAAAACAGGCCGTGATGCTGTGATTCGAAAAAGCAGGGAAAATGGTGGGGAGTTATTAAGGAGGAGTTTGATCAGCGGCCTGATACGGTAGAGAAGTAAATGGGATAAATGCAGCAGAGAGAGAGATGTCCTTGACTTGACTGTTAGTGATTGTGACTGGGTGTGTGTATGCTCGTGAGCGTGTGTGCGTGTTTAAAGACCTACATACTGTCGCTCAGAAAGAACAGATATTCATTTCCTCAGATAAAAAAAAAACCTCCTGCATAATTATGCATTTAAAAATGTGTAGCACAGAACAATCATGTTTGCTCTGGTGTGTGTTAAATTAGAAGGTAAATAACTTCCTACCTACAGCGCCCCCGCAGCATGTACAATATAAAAAGGCTTGTGTGAGTGAGTGTGTGTGTGGCCGTGTGTGTGCAACACAGAATGTAAAAAGATAACGAATGTTGTTCCCTATGTTGTGTGTTTTCAAAGTGGGGGCTGCAGACCCCTAGGGAGGACGCCAGGGGCTACTGGGGGGTCCACATGACATTGGAGAGATAAAAAAAAAATTTTTTTCTTAACCGTACAATGCATAAATTGTTCTGGGAGGTGCCAGGACAGATGCTAATGCTGCTGTGGGGCAGTTTGAGAATCCCTGGTATCAGTGAAACAGCTGTAGTCTATGGACGTCCAACTGCTGATCCTGACAGTAGTCATTAACATCCATGGTTCCTGGTGTGAGAGTGTGAGATTCTCTTGGTCTTGGTCTGTGTGACTGATTGCCAAAAGGTTTTTTTTGTAATAATTCACCCCTTCAGGTTACTCAAAGTAATTACAACACAATGGACCCTTAAGGGTCTCGACCCACACATGGTACTCACAGGGGATGGTGCGCAGGTAGAGGTTGTCCCGTATGATCTGCTGGAGCTTATGGTCCAGCGAACCCTTCTGAAACTGCAGACTGAGGTAGTGGCGCAGGTCCGTGTTCAACACTTTACCTACAGAAAGAGAGACAAAGGGAAGGTGAGAATAAATCCCACTGCCGCGGTGCTTCCTCTCAGACGGCTTATATCTTAAAGGGAAATCCTAAAAGTGACATGTTTCTCACACAATGATCAATACAATAGGATTTAGCTGAGTTAATATTTATTTCACCAAGAAGTAACCCAGCTACAGCAAAGGCAACTTGGAAATAAAACCAGTTCCGTGAAATCAGCCCTCCTCTGTTTACAGCTTCTTTTTTGAAGCTTGGTATGAATACAAACCTGAAGAGCTTGGGGTTTCCAAAGCATCACAGCGCTGTATAAGCCTGTTTACGCAGAAGAGTATGGACGGCTGCCTGTTCCTTCAGAAGCAAGTGCTAAGATAACACAGAGAAGGGGGAAAGATTTCCACAGGGTTGAAGAATATTCAATGAATATTTTCTTTGACATCGTCGACAGGCGTTGAAGGTTAAATATTTCTAAAGAACCTTTGAGACAAAATAGTCAAAAGAAGCTGGAAGAAGAACAATCATGTAAAAAGGTTTTCTTTGATTTAAGAAAAGGTAAAAAAGATACTAATTAAAAAATCTAAGATGAAAGATGACTTGCTTTTTCTTGGCTGTCTCTACAGTTTTAGCCATTTCAAACATGCCCGAAAAGAAAAACCCCCAAAACCTTTCAGAGAAGATGGCTGTGCAGAGCCAGAGATATTCATAAGAGAATATCAACTCCCAAAAGCCTCTTTAAAAAACACAAGAAAGTTCATACAAAGTTTGCGGTGAGGAAGAACTTCAACCATCGTCACACATGAGAAGAAGAGGAGGAAAAGCTTTTTTTTTTTCTTTTTTTTTTACTGTGAAAGAACTTGATAAGAGAGTTTGGGAAACATGATGGGATCTGCAGCGTGGACCTGCCCTCAGTGGTTCAGGCATGAGTTTCAGAGTCAGCCCTGGAACGGTTTGATTAGAGAGAAATAATCATGTTTCTCTCTCCATGTGTCTGTGACTGTGTCTGTAGTGTCAGTCTCTCTTTCCTGGCTCCGTTGCTCACACAGACTGGCTCTGCTCAGCACGACTCCTCTCCGCATCGCTCTGAATACAAACCAGAAGGAGCGAAGACGAGCTCTTACTACAACAAAAGACGAAGGGTTGGTGGAATAACGATAGGATGTGAATATTTCAAGAGCCTCCTCCTTACAGCCAATCTACAGAAGCCTTTTCCAGAACAGACACCAACACAGACATGTTGGTTGTTATTTTAGTTATTTTTCTATTCTAAACCACAACAAGGATTCAATGTGGTAATATTGATTTTTGATTCACGGACAAAGAAACCGTTTAGAGAATATTAATAATAAGTATTTAACCACCACTTTCTGGCACATCTCACAGCTCAGTGGTAATGGTGGCAGCAATGCTGTGGAACAATGCACAGGATGCTTTGAGTGACGTCAGTGGACAGAAAGGTTTGATGAACAGTCATTGCTTGGCCTTGATAATGCTGTACAAACACCTACTGATGTTTCGTTTCTTCTTTCATAAACACAGGTAAGGATTTTGGAATAATGACTGCACGATGTAAGAAGCTTCTATAAGAAGACTCTGTGCTACAGTTGAAACAGAAAAACACATCAAGCAACGAGAACTAAGATCAAATCCAGCAGCTTTATCGTTGATGTGTCTAAAAATATAATCTCTCTGCTGCCACACTGGGGAATTGATGTCACCAGCCTTGTGTTATTTAAAGTTGGTTGTATTGATATGAGAATAAAATAATGATGTGTTCACATCAGTAAGAATGTCTTTGATGATTACGTTAATGCACCTGGAATATCAAAATAAAAGTCAGCCGTCTTATTAAAAATAAAAGTATTTGAATCTAAAGTTTATTCTGAAGCTCTTCGGTCACAGGCCCTACCCTGACATTCAAATGTTTGGTTAACCTTCGTCTGCCTGTGTAATCAGAGGATTCTTGGTTTGAATCCCAGTCAAAGCAGGGACCGTGTTGAGCAAACACCAAAAACCTTCCCCAGTCCCGGGGTGAAGTAAAGTGCAGCCGACTGTTCCTGTTCCAAGAACTTGTCAAATGTATTTGTGTACTGTGTGTGTAAATGTAACCCATTAGTACCTGATAAAAGAAGGTCCGTTCAGCTTAACCTGTCTCCACTGGCCCAGTTTAAATGTTAGGGTTGACATCGACACACAGTAACACTACAAACCTGCTATTCTCTTTGAACAATGGTAACATTGTATTGATGCAGTTGCCTATACACAGTAGTTTCTACAAAAAAAACCCATTAAATTATTTTATACCTCATTTTAGTTGAAGCAGATTCTGGAAAAATCCATTGGTATTTTTTCCGTACAATTGCTGCCCCCTACTTTGAAAACCACTTGCAAAATTGTAAAAAGCTTAGTTTTACACAATTGATTTTGAGTTTTCAAAAGGTAAATTGAAATATTATATATATATTTATTTAGTTTTAATAATTTTGTTTTAAATTTTAGAATTCCATGCCTGGATTTTCCTCCTTTTCCAGAGGGCCAAGTGTTTTTATTTTTGATTTTTTTCCCTTTTTTTTTGCCTCTTCACAGTTCGTCTTGAATCATTGATGTTTTGGTCTGAAGAAACCTGCAGAAACTCATGCATTCAACTTTTTTTTCAAGTCACTACACATACACTTTGCATGTGAAGTTTTGATCTTTCCTTTTCTTATGGTTTCCAAGAGTACGAGTGAAATCCATCAGATATTACTTGACACACTGAACTCAGAAACGTAAGGTTAAAAGTTTGTAAATGAGCTGATGAGACTCTCTCTGTGCTGATGAAAGCTTTGTTGCAGCTCTTTGTAATTTACACACACGAGGCTTTAGCTGCAGTAGGAATTTACGCCTCCGTAATGCTCACTCACACTGGGTTATTACGTAAAAAAAACAAAAAAAAAAACAAAAACTACGTGCGCACACACGAGGAGGCCCGGCGCTCTGATCTGGTAAATATGATTCAGATACAGTGCTACACTGTGGTCTTTGTAGCGTCCTGGGTCCTGTCAGAGACTGTTAGTGAGACTGTCACAGCACAGAAGTCTCTCATTCCTCCTCCCTGCAGATAACACTGCTTTTGTAGAAGGCCTCATTTTTCTCTGACGGGCTCAATAGCTCCATTGTGTTCCATCAGCCATCCACACTCATGTAAGGTTAGTTCTCGGCCGGAAGATGAAAGGAGGGCACACTGCTTATTTTTTTTTTCCCCCAACTATCCATAATATTACATTTTCTTATTTGTCCATTAGAATAACTTTTTTTTAATAAAAAAAATAATAACTTTCAACTAGTGCTGCCAAAATGACCAGGCTAATTAATTGTTGAGATAATTCTGATTAAAATATATCCAATAATTACACTGTTATCCACTTATCATTGCTCTAATACAAATTTGATAAAAATGTTATTTACACACACTGTGGGAAAATGATTAAGTGTCAAAGAAACTTGAACACAGACAATAATCCCAGTGTGTGTTTTCTTTATTTGTACATCATTTCAATCTCCTATCCTGTGATTCAGCTGTCAGAAAAACATTCTGAGTCTGTCTCTCACCACCATGCCACCATGCCATAGTTCTGTGTACCAGCAGTCAGTCAGTTGCTCTTATATCAACACTAAATGCTCATGTCAGCAGCGAGGGAAGCAGAGAGAGTTTGGCACCGTGTGTAAAGTGACAGACTGTCAGCATCCTCACTTTGACCAACACCTCGTTCAGAAGCCACACAATCAGACCAACACTTTTAGCTGTGAAGACATGAAGCTGCGCTTTCTGGTGTCGACAACAACAACGCACACACATCGGTATTCTCTTGTGCTGAAGAAGCGAAGACTAAAAGAAGTCGATGGAGGAGGAAAAAAAGGAGGAACATTTTTTCATTTCTCTGTGAGATATTGGAGAGTTTTGTTTTGTTGAAAACTCTAATATATTTTTTATTTAAAAAAAAACACTTTCCACTGCTGCTACATTATTTTCGGCTAAAAAAAAATCACACCATTAATTTAATGATGTATTCATTAAATAAATACATCATTACTTTTCAAATACATCAAATAAAAACAAACTGTAATTAATGATCTGCTACATTTTAACAAGATAAAACTCAGATCTGTGACAGACAAAGTATATGTATTATAACTCTTTTCTGTGTTTAAAGAAATGACCTCAGTAAAATGTCCAGGTTCCATTATGTGACAATGTATTTCCCCTGAGGTGAACGTGACGCCCACATTGATGTGGTTTAATTAAAAATCCGGTGAAACAGCCAATACGTCTTCAGGTGTGAAGCTGCTGTGACATGAACGTGTACACGCTCATCTGACTGAAGCCTCCACCACACTGAAGCCCTGGGTATTTACACGTCCCAAAGGACACGGACACCCAATATGTCAATAACTGAGGTGACTGGGTGTAGGGTAATTAGGATTATGCATAAATGTAAATATAAACACACACCTTGTCGAGTTGAGCTGCTCAAGCAAAGAAATAATTGAAAGAAAAGGTTTTCGGTGAGCTCCGACTGTCAGTTCTGCAGAACTGCAGTGAAGCAGTTCACAAGAAAATATCTGCCAAAATGTCTCCTACAGAGTGCAAAATATTTCTCAAATTAGGCAAAATGGGAGAAGCTGGTGAAGATGGATAAAAGGTTTTTAACCAATAGAAGGAAAAAAACATTGGGGCAGAAACGTAAAGAAGATCACATACGGAGGTAAAATTGTAAGTATTGAGGTAGAAATGTGTATTAAAAAGTACTTTCCCACAGTAATGTAACAAAAAGGAAAAAAAAGCAAATATTTATAATTGTAAAAAAGGTCAACATTGAGGTTGAAAAGAAAAAAAAACTACAAAAATAATCATTCTGGTAAAAATGTAAAAAATTTAACATTGAAGTAGAATTAAAAACACTGAGGTAAAAATGTAAACATTGACTTATGACAATATTTATATATGATTATTATGTTTTTTCTATT